CAGTTTGGTAACTTCTTTAATAACAGTTTCTTTTTGTTATAACAGTCATGGTTTTTTGTTTGTTTCTTTGTTTTACATTAAAGTAATAAATCATTGAATGTTTAACATATTCGTATTAATTTTTTTTTGTATTATATGTAAACCGAAAAAAATATATATGTATAGTTATGTTATTTTTTAATAAATATAAATATATGTTGTAATGAAATACCATTTGTTTTCAAAACAAAATCAATTGAATCTTTTGAAATTGACACAGATTTTCGTTTCTAATTCATTGTAGGATAATATTTGTGTAACAGTTGAATTTTTATTTTCAATCATTTTTTCTTTAATAATTAAAAATCTGATTAAAAAATTTTTAGTTTTTTTGCCAATAAAAACCGAAAAAAAATAATTGATTCACTCAGGATTTGTTGGTTGTTAATAATTGTATGGTAGGATTTTGTTTTTGGTTTAATTTTAGATATAATATATATATATTTTGTTTAGTTCTAAAAAGTTGATTTTGTTTTAAAAAAATGAAATGCCAAAGTTTTACATTAGAGGGCAAAAGTTGTTGGTTTGGTTTTTGTTTTTTTTTTTTTAAGTTAAAGTATTTAAAAAAGTATGTTATGTTAGTTTTGTTTTAATTTATTTATAATAAATCTATACACATTTAATAAATTGTTTGGTTTTGTAGTTGTTGTTATAGAAAAAAGTTATAAAAAATTGTTATAGTTCTTGTTGTTGTTTTTTTTTTTCAAATGTATATCTCTTCTTTGGTTTTTTCTACAAAAAAAAGAAAGACTTGCACAACTTTAGTTGCCTGTTTTTGGTTTTGTTAATATTAATTAGCATTTTAGTCATTTGGTTACTTAAAGTGTTTCAGTTGTAATTGGTTTTATTAAAAAAATCATTTTTTGAAGTGCTTTCAGATAAGATTTTTAGTTTTCTATGAAATTTTGGAATTGTTTTCATATATTTGGCTTATCAGTTTATTTTTTTCAGTTATTTATATAGTTACATTAGGGAGTTTTCATTGTTTGTTTTTCAAATTATATTATGGAAATGAGCAATTAATAGACTGATAAAAGGTTTACATTTAATTGAAAAAGGAGTGAAAATAATTTATTTGAATATTTATGCTATAAAAAAGTATCCAGTATGTTTTTACACTAATTATCAAGTTTTTATCTAATTTATACATCACTTTATGTAAATGAGGACAAATTGAGGAGATAAAGCGATTAGGGTTATGTTTATATCAAATGTTTTTTTTTTTTTTGAAAATTATTTTTTGTTTATAATATAAATGACATGTTTTATTTAGAACAGGTTTAATGTAAACAGAGCATAAAATTTATTTTAAAATAAACCTATGAAATGTTGCTGAGTTATTAGAAAGTATGCTAAACTGCAGATATGCGTTTTATGTAAATACGTAATTTATTTGACAAACAATGTAATATAACTGACATTTGCGAAAATACGTCATATATTTGGTAAAATTTTAAGCAATAACATATGGTCTGTCCCTGTACACATAAATTCTAAATGTATAAAGAGAAAATCGAAAACAATTTCGAAACAATTTAAAGAAAATATTTCTTATTTGTTTTGAAGTAAACTTGAGAAGCAGGTGATTAGCAGCTGATCAATAAAGTCATACAGGAAGATCAGCTGTTTCTAAAGTTTATGTCAAAAACCATTACTGTGAATTTACTTTTATTGAATTGATCGATATTATGAAAACGTAAATTATTAATTTAGTTTTTCTTTTTTTTTATTTTTTTGGTAAAACGTAAATTAGGTAGAACTGTTGACATCTTCCCTGTGAAATCACAGCTGTTTTTAACTTTTTCGGTGTCCTTATTAAGCATTGAATACATCATTAATTGCAAGGGCTATTGATGAAGTCTTCCAGGGAGACCTGGATATCAGCTGCTTCTCAACTTTGCTGTCAAAATTCATTATTGTGAATAGACTTCAATTATGAAAACGTAAACAAAGTCCAATTTTGAGAAAAAACCGCTGGCGTTCGCTTGCTGGGTGACCTTATTAATAGATTTTGATTAATTGTTTATTTCAATTCACTGTGCTGAGGTTATACTTGATACATACGTTATGAAATTGACATTTAAATTCGAAAGGATCTCATAAATCTAAATGCACTTTAAAAAAACGTCAAAGGAAATTCGAAGGATATATTTTCATCAATATTCTCGAAATGAAACATCTTATATAGGCGAATCCAATATCTATTAAAAAGGTTCCCAACTTGCGAAAGTCTGCTGTTTTCTCAGAGTCTAATGTCAAAAATTTGGATTTTGTTTACGTTTTTATAATGAAAGTCAATTCACAATAATGGATTTTGACAGCAAACTTTAGAGGCAGCTGATATCCAGCTGACTTTCCTGGATGACCTTATTAAGAGACCGTGGGTAATTCCATTTATTATATCTTCAATCACTTGACACACAGTTAATGGAATTGCTCTAATATAAAATATGTAATTTAGTTGCCAGTGTTCAGGCAGTTCTGTACAACAGTCAACAATAAAGCATTTACATCAGTTCAATATAATTTTAGAATGAACTATTGTGAATTAATTCATAACAGCTGATTGTTATAAAACACTTCATAAAATATGTAATTTAAGAACTTCAAAGTTACTTGTATAAATATATTTTATATTTTTTGCATGTTTCTCCACAAATTGTCCTCATTTACACTATCTTATCGCATATAGCTATAATATTTCTTCTTCATCATCTTTCATATACACACTTCATTTAAATTATTATATATGTCATGTTCATATATAAGTATTTGTATATTTTATATAAATATATATAACACATAATTTTGTCGCATGATAGTACATTTGTTTTAAATATTTATTTTTAATTTGTTAGGTTTTTTGCATTTGTATGTTATCTTTATTTTTTAAATGTCATGAAGGCAAAATGTTATGTTTTTGGTTTTAATTAATTGTTTTTGTTATGTTTTTTTTGTTGTAATTAAATAAAGCTTTGTATTTTTTGGTTTTTGTTTTAATTTATTTGTTTTTAAAGAGATGAATAAAAAGTAGAGGCTCGGATAAACTGTTAAGTGTTATATAGTGTTTGTTTGTTTTGTCATGTATATAAATTTTATATATGTTAACCATATATTTTATTTGTATATAAATGTCAAAAAAGGAAATGAATCTGTTCAGAAAATGCAACACTGACATATAATATTTTAAGATGCAAAACTGTTTGGGATCTTAAACCTGATTTTATTTAATCAATTATATTCTAAAAAATACATCGAAAGTGTTTAGTGGAAATCGAAATTTAATTGACATATATACAAAGGAAATGACAATTAAAATGTCTTATCATAAAACAAGCTTGTGTAAATGTAGCATCACTTTTTTTTTGTTTACATTTATTGTTATTACGATTAAATTATTTATTGACTGATTTAACAAATAAATCATTATTATAACTCCTCGAATGAAAGCAAAAAATAATGTAAACATAGTTTAAACACAGGAGAGTACCCAACAGCTGTTAAATTAAAACCAAATGTCAAATATAACAGTGTTGCATTTCTGAACATGTCCAGTGTTTAGTAGTGTTTTTTATGTATGAAAGAGAATTATGAAAAAAAACTGTATATATAATCATATGTTTATGTTATGAAAAAATAAAGTATGTAGTGTTTTTTTTTTTAATTATGTAGATTTTTTGAAATGTTACGAGAATTATTTGAATGTATTTTTTATTAATTGTTTAGGTTGTTTGTTTGATTTGTTTTCTTTGTAGTTGTTCAACATCGATAGATTGTTTTTAAGTTTTGAATTTGTTGTTGATTTAATGTTAATATTTGTATGTACTTTTATTTATTTTTTTGTTACACTTATAGTTAAGGAAGAAAAGTGTGTGAGAGAGTGGAGAGTTTTTGGTTTTAAACATTTTTTGGGGATCTTCTCAAGAAAACAAACAATTTTTTAAAAAAAATGTGTATAAAAAATTATTTGTATACAATCTGTTTTAATTTTTTGGAGATTTTTGGAAAATCAAAAATAATTAAATTTGAATAAATAATTATAAAATAAATTCAGGAATCTCAACAAATAATTCTCAATTGATTTTTTAAAGGAATTATATTCCATATATTATACATTTTTAAATAAGCATCTTTGTTAGCACATAAAATAAATTACATTTTTTATTATATTTTATTTTGTGTGAATTATTATGTGTTGCCGTTTATAATAATGAGTTTTACTCAGTATTTTATTTTTGTAATTTCCAAATTGAATTATTATGTTATTGGAAAATATATCAAAGAAAATTTGTGAATAATTCACAATAATTTTATTTTTCTATTAAAATATTTGGAATGACAAGTGACAAATGGTAAAATGTCAATAAAAAAATACAAAAAAGGCAAGGTAAGAGAGAAATATATGTATGTCTGTCATTCATAATCGTTAGTAATACAAATTCAAATTTATTTCTTAAATTTGTAGATTATTTGACATACATTCTCTGGAATTGACAACTTAAATGACATGTTTATTAAATCGCCTTTGAATGTAAACAAACTAAAAATAGATTTCTATGCACTGATAAAGTAGGTTTACGTATTTTAATGTAATAAATCATCATGATAAGGATGTTTAAATTGCCATATATTATATGAAAATATATTTCAAATTTATCATAATAAAAAACTTATCACTTTAGTGTAGACGTAGTTTAATTTTTACCATTTTTGCCACTCCTTAAACATTTTACAACACAGTTTTTAATAAGTTGCAATAATTAAATAAAATCTTTTCAGAATAACAAACAAAAAATTACATCCTGGAAATCCTTTTTAACAATTTCATTCAATAATCATAATAATTCTAATCTCATCTTGTTTTTCAAAAGGAAAAGTTTCATTTGTTTCTTTAATGTTTAACAGCGGAAATAAATTTTGCAATAGATTTGTTAATCTATTTAGTATTTGTTTTAACAAATTTATTTCTTTGACTTCTTGGATTTTTTATCATCGGAAGACGTTGCCGCAACATTACTTCCTGCATTTGTTGACGATGACGATGCTGTTGCAGCAGCCGCAGCAGAACTTGATGTTGTCGCCGGTTGATGACTTTTTTCGAAAATTTTCTTCACCGATGGCTGTTGTGCCGAAACCTGAGTGATAGGATGATTACCTAGCGATGGTGTAACTGGTGTATCATCCAAAAATAATGGATTCTTTACCTCCATTTCACCAGTCTGAAATAATAGGAATAAATTAAAGACGTTTTAATATTGAATAGAATTATATGTACATGTTAAAAGTGAAATAAAATAAATAAATAATTGGATTTAATCTCCGATTTGAAATTCTATGACCAATTTAAGGTCTTTAATAAGGTTATTGAGCTGCTTCTCAAGTTTGCTATCAAAATCCATTATTGTGAATTGATTTCCATTATGCAGACACAAAGTCCAAATTTTGACACCCGCGGTACGGATAACCTCCGAATACGCTCGAGTCCGAATCCTCTCCCAGTTCGACGCAAGTCCGGACTGGTATCCCAATACAAAAATAAACGACACGCAGCTGCAAAAACCACAAGTAGCAAGCAAAACGTTGCAACAGGCAGTGACGACGTTGAACAAATACACTCAACAAAAACAACATGCTGTTCTCACGGACTGCACAAAGGGCCCAAAGGACCGTGGCAACGGACATCACAACACAAACACTCAACGAAGCCTTCACCACATCCACAAGAGGAGTTAAATAATTGGATTTAATCTCCGATTTGAAATTCTATGACCAATTTAAGGTCTTTTAATAAGGTTATTGAGCTGCTTCTCAAGTTTGCTATCAAAATCCATTATTGTGAATTGATTTCCATTATGTAGACACAAAGTCCAAAATTTTGACACCCGCGGTACGGATAAACTCCTATCAGGCTCGAGTCCGAACCCTCTCCCAGTTCGACGCAAGTCCGGGCTGGTATCCCAAAACAAAAATAAACGACACGCAGCTGCAAGAACCACAAGTAGCAGGCTAAACCATGCCACAGGCAGTGACGACGTTGAACAAATACACTCAAAACAAACAATAAACATGCTGTTCTCACGGACTGCACAAAGGGCCCAAAGGACCGCGGCAATGGACATCACAACACAAACACTCAACGAAACTGCCCTCACGGACAGCCTTCACGACATCCACAAGAGGAGTGAACCTCGTGAAACAGGAAGACCGCGAACTACCCTCGATGCAAAACATCAGCAGTCAGCACGCTCTCCGCCAACCCACCACCACCAAATGCAACCGACCGAGCCCACCTGCAAGGGGCTATGCACGAGGATCACATCTTCTAGGTGCTGTCCTTCTCCTTAATGCTTCACGAGCAAAACTACTTAAACAACTAAAGGTCCGATCGTCATCAAGAGCTCTACTGAAATCCCACCCCGCCCCTCCATTCGATATACCCATATTTGCTAAATCTCTAATGTCATCATAGTAACAGCATTCTGGTACTATATGCTTCCAGTCGTCAGTCATACCACACCAACATAAATCCGTCTGGGACAGGCCTCTTTTATGCAGAAACGCATTGAGAGAACCCTGCCCCGTCCCAGTACTTTAGCCGAAGCGAAAGTCTGGCCGGTCCACTACGAACCTTGCGTCACGAATAAATTCGTACTTCACCCTCCCTTTGTCACTGTTCGTCTACCTTGATCTTTTGGACTACTTTATTAATACTCTATTCAAGGCTATTAATAACATCATCTAGGATGTCCAGCTACCTATCAGATGTTTCTTAAGTTTGCTGTCAAAATACATTATTGTGAATTGACTTCCATTATGAAAATGTAAAAAACGTTCGAATCTCCGACTTTAGACTTGAGAAATAACAGATGATTTTAGCTTGATGTGTGATCTTATTAATAGATCTCGACTCTATTAAACTCATGGTCAATGCATTTTAATAAGGTGGCCCAGGTAGCAAACGAAGTCGGAAAACAGATGTTATTTCTCAGGTTAAATGTCAACAATCTGGTCGGTAAGTTTGGTACAACAATTATTTTGGCTTCAAATTTGAAAAATATATGATTTGCAGCTGGTCTGCTTGGGTGACTGGACAGCTGGATATTAGCTGCCTCTAAAGTTTGCTGTCAAAAATCCATTATTGTGAATTGATTTACATTATGAAAAAGTAAACAAAGTCCAAATTTTTTACATTAGACTTGACAGAATCAACTGACTTGATATGGACCAAGGTCTATTAAAAATGCCAGCTAGGGAGACCAGCTGTCTCTCAAGTTTGCAGTCAAAATACATTATTATGAATTGACTTCCATTAAACGTAACGTAATTAAACGTTTCGCCAGCTGGATGAGCTAATAGATCTTGCTTTAAAACAAGTAAAAACGTCGTTAGCATGGCCTATAAATAAGGTCACCAAGGGAGACCAGCTGATTATCGATACCTCTCAAGTTTGCTGTCAAAATGCATTATTGTGAATTGACTTCCATTATGAAAACGTAAACAAAGTCTAAATTTTTGACATTAGACTTGAGAAAGAACAACTGTTTTCCGATTTCGATTGCTATCTTGGTGACCTTATTAATAGATCTTGCATGGCACAATAAATAGGTAGTCCATTTAGCTCAGCTGATGTCTCGATTAACCGTCAAAGTGCGTAAATTCTACTCTAATTAATTGTGCAGAGTTGCCAACCATGTGAAATATTATATGGAAAAATTTGACAGAAGATCGAGACAAAAACAAAGGTTTTTGTTGTGATACATCACCTTATTATTGCACCATGAAAACAAGTAAAAACGTCGTTGGAGTCCTACAGGCCGAATTTTGTATACCTTCCACCATAAGTTATATATTTAAAATACCCGTAATCGATCGGGACCTTAGAGATAAGACGGGATTTGGCATGCTAAATTTTTTGGTAGGAAGATTTGAAAACCAGTGAGAACCAAAGAAGAGTCAATTCGGTTAAAAATTGCGCCCATAATCTCCAAAATACCTAATAAAGGGGTTTATCGTTATATAAGATTATTCAATTTTTGTTAGGGAGAATTTCTACCCAATGGAAACTCAACGTCTCAAAAGTCAATTTCATTAAAAACATGCCAAAAATCCCCAAAATACCGAATATTTGATGAACTTATTTCATAACGTCACTCTCACTTACCGGTGCCAAACCAGGACATTCATAAACCGTATAATCACCCTCCTCATTATCGTCATCACTTTCGACATAGGACATTTCACAGTTCTCTTCATTGTTTTGACGATTTTCCATGGCAATTATTTGTTGTTTCTGATGTTGATAGTGATACATTTGGGCACTATGAGCCAACTTTCTATCACCCGAAGGAGAAATGTCTTTATTGGGTCCCGTAACACCATAGGCGGGATAATCAACATCAGCAGCAGCTTTGCTCTTATTGTGGAATCTAAAGGAAAAAAACAAATAATTTTAAATTCATTTTCCAAAAACAATATCGAAATAGCTACTTACGTATACCAAGCTATGCCCAAAACAAATAAGCCCACCGTAGCTGCTGCACTCACTCCCGCTATTAATGCCACCACATACATGCCCATTTCACCTTTCATGCCCAAATGTTCTCGCACCACCATGTGAGCATCACCTCCCGAACCATCCAATACTCCCGGTGCCAGAGAATCACCTTTCGGATGTAGTTTGTCAATTAAAGAAGTCATGTCCTGGCGTGCTGGTGCCACACCACCTGCCTGGACTTGTTTAACATTTATTGAATTAACACCTGCCGCTGCAGCGGCTGACACCGACTGCGGTTTAATGCGATGGAAATTGGGGTTACTGCCTTGACCAACAATTCCAGCCTGTTGGGGTGGTAACACCATAGTGTCACCATTCAATTTTCCTCCCGCTTTACCATCTCCTCCATCAATGGCATTTGCATCCACCTGCTGCGGTGTATACTCTTCATATTCATCAAGAACTTGTGAATCTAAATCCTCATCCTTATCACCATCGGCAACTTCATCATCTTCGCCGCCGGCATCTTCATCCCGCAAACCATCAATGTCATTGGCCGCTTCCATATTGCCGACCATATAGCCACCAGCATTCTCATCGACATTCTCATAGTAACGGGGGTCATTGGGATTGACGGCGAAATTAATGCGATCCCTTAGATTGTGAATATTTTCCAAACTGGGATATTTATAACTGAAATCCTGATTGGTGTTATCGTATTGGTCGACAATATTGTTGTTATTGTTGACACTGTTGCTGCTGCCGCTACTACTACTGCCACTGTCCACCACACTGTTGACATCGGAATTTTCTTTGAATTTACGCACATAATCGTAATCATCGTCATTTTCTGCAGCCATTGCCGCCAACTGCTGTTGACGATAACGTTCCCGCATCCGCTCCTCTCTCTGGCGCTCTCTCATCAATTTCAAATTGATCAGCTCCAAATGCTGCTCGAATTGTTGTTGTAATCTTCGTCGGGCATTCTCCTCCATTAGCTGTGTCAAAAAGTCCGAATTGACTTCATAGGATGAGCTTTGAGCCGGTTGTAATGGTCGGCGACGTAGGCCTGAAATTAAATTAAGAAAATTATTGTAGAAATTATTGGGAAACGATTATATATGAAGCTATGGAAGAGAATTGTGATTTTTATAAAATCCAATACACATTTTAGTTCCAAGAAATTAATGTTTAAATGTGCGAGCACTTCAATAGTGTGTTCCACATCACTCATCGAATAAAAAGTGTTTTTGGATTCTTACGAGTTTTGAAAAAAAAAATTCAGCATGAATGCTGAATAATTTGTCTTAAAGTCAAGGAAATTTTGTCAGCTAGACTGGAATTACTTCCACACAGAGGAAATCGGTCAGCCAAATATTAATGCTATGTCAGGAAGAGACCTTAGGAAAGAAGATGGGTTGGCGGTGAACATGCATACCGATAGGGTTTCATATACGACACCCTTATGTCATAGGAAGTTAATGCAAATTTTTGGCCTAAGACCTATTAATAACTTCATACAGGGAGACCAGCTGGACATCAGCTGCTTCTCAAGTTTACTGTCAAAATCCTTTATTGTGAGTTAATTTACATTATGTGGTCCATTTAAAGCAGCTGATGTCTTGATTAACTGTCAAAGTGGTAAATTTTACTTGAATTCGATGTGCAATGCTGCCAAATTTTTTAAATATTATAAGGAAAAATTTGACAGATAATCGAGACAAAAAAAATGTTTTTGTTTTGATACATCACCTTATTATTGCATCATGGTCCAAATTGTTGACATTAGACTTGACTTTCGCTTGCTGGGTGACCTTTAAATAGATCTTGCTTTGTACAAGGCCTATTAATAAGGTCATCCAGGGAGATCAGCTGCTTCCCAAGTTATCTGTCAAAATCCATTATTGTAAATTGATTTCCATCATGAAAACGTAAAGAAGTCCAAAATTTTGACATTTGTCTAGCGAAAAACAGCTGACTTTCGCTAGCTGGTAATTTTATTTATAGATCTTGGACAAGGCCAATTCGAAACCGAAAGTGATGGTTTGTGTAGGCAAATGGTCGCCAATGCCATTAATAAGATACAGAGGTTAAGTAAGAGAAATTGTATACATTCTGGAAGACCAGATGGATATCAGCTGCTCTCAAGTTTTCTGTCAAAATCCATTGTTGTGAATTGACTTCCATGATGAAAACGTAAACAAAGTCGAAATTTTTGACATTTGATTTGAGGAAAACAGCTGTTGGTACTGAAGCAATTATAATGTCACTAAGCTTTACAAGGTAGCTTAGTTATGTCATTTATTGAAATCATGGCCTATAAATAAGGCCACCCAGGGAGACCAACTGGATATCTGTGCCTCTCAAGTTTGCTGTCAAAATCCATTATTGTGAATTGACTTCCATGATGAAAACGTAAACAAAGTCGAAATTTTTGACATTAGACTTGAGAAAAAACAACCGTTTCCGATTTAGATTGCTACCTTGGCGACCTTATTAATAGATCTTGATTGAAATATTCATTTTATAGTTTCCATTTTTATACCCTTAACCCTTATATTAGTTTTGTTTTTTCCTTTTTAACGCATCGACATAATCATTTCCGAACCTATTAAGTATATATATTTCGGTATTTTGAGGTTTTTGGGAGCGTTTTTCAACCGACTTTTTACTTTGAGTTGTTATTGGGTAGAAAATCTCCCCATTCACAATTATAAATATAGGTCATTTTTTCGGGTAGCCCCCATATAAGGGAATTTTCGGTATTTTGGGGTTCTTGGGCGCGTTTTATAACTGAATTCACTGAAATTTAGGTCTTTCTTTTTCTGATAGTCCCCATATAACGGTAGCCCCAAATTTTCGGTATTCTAGGGGTTCTGATCGTATTTTGCGATCGAATTAGCTGTAATTTAGTACTTTGAGTTCTTATTGGGTAGCAAATTTTTCCATCAAAAATTATAAATATAGGTCCATATTTTGGGTCCACCGCAATTTCCGGGATTTTGGGGTTCTTGAGCGCGTTTTAAACAAATTCGTTGTAAATTGTTTTTTGTAGTCGTATATGGTAACAAATCTCCTTCCCAAAAATTATTAATATTCGCCCATATAACCCCCTTTTTTAGGTAGTCCGCATATAACCCCCTTTTTTATTAAACTAGTTATTTGATTTGTTCCGCCTTTTTGAGTTTGGTTCTAAGACTTTGTTGTAAACATTCTACCTGTGGAGGATATCGAGATAAAAAAAACTAGAACATGAGGTTCGAGAATGAACTATATCGGCCCGCAGTTAGGTCTAGCCCCCATATAATGACATCTACCAATGTTCGATGTTTTTAATATTTAGCGTAAAGGATGTTATTGCAATGCAAAAATTTTAGTTTCGAAATTGAGCTATATCAGTACTCAATTAGGCATAACACCTCATATAATGATAACTACAAATGTTCGTCTATTTCTACACGATGTAATCAATATTGGTTCCGCTCTAGGTATCGCCTCCAGGGACGTACTCATACACATTTTTTATACCCTCCACCATGATATGGAGGGTATATTAATTTTGTTTTTCCGTTTGTAACTCATCGAAATAATCATTTCCGAACCTATTGATCAGCGTAAAATTCTATGACGATATAGCCATGTCCGTCTGTCCGTCTGTTTGTTGTAATCACTCTAGCATCTAAACGAATTGAGATAGATCGCCAAAATTTTGCATAGAGTCGTCTTTTGTGTGCAGGCAGGTCAAGTTCGAAGATGGGCTTTATCGGTTCACGTTTAGGCATAGCGCCCATATAAAGGTACCCCCTAAATTTCGGTATTTTGGGGTTCTTGAGCGCGTTTTTCAACTGAATTCGCTGAAATTTGGTACATTGGGTTCCTATTGGGTACCAAATATCTCCACTAAAAATTATTAATATAAGTCCATTTTTTCTGGTAGCTCCCATATAAGGGCACCCCCCAAATTTCGGTATTTTGGAGTTCTTGAGCGCGTTTTTCAACCAAATCCGCTGAAATTTGGTACATTGGGTTCTTATTGGGTACCGAATATCTCCACTAAAAACTATATACCATATAATGGTACCATATAATGGTACCTGCCGATTTTCGGTATTTTTAATATTTAGCGCAAAGAAATGTATTCGGATGCAAAAATGTTAATTACGAAATTGAGTTATATCTATTACCAATTAGGCCGAAATAAAACCTGTGTATATTGGTGATGGACTTATATAACTATGACCCCTTAGTTGCAGTATTTTGGAGACATCTTAACTGCACCGGACCAGTTTCTGGGGTTTTTAGGAAAAATATCCATTAAAAATTGCTGAAATTTGTATTTGGTGTACATGGAATTTTTGGTATAAGTCCACTTTTGGGTATGTACCCTATATTTTCGATGCTAGTATCTGTTAGTATACCTATGGTGGAGGGTATCCAAAGTTCGGCCCGGCCGAACTTAAAGCCTTTTTCATTTGTTTTTTTTTTTGCAATGAAAATTTTCATATTGAACCAGCAGCTTCCAACCAACCTCCCGAATTAATACCTGTGTACGTTGGTGACGGCCTTATGTAACCTCTAAATTGGAGGACTTTGGGGATTTTCCATCCTACCATGCTTCGTTGACTATTATCGATCCACTTTTTGGGGGTTTTAGGAAAAATATCCATTAAAAATTGCTGAAATTTGTATTTGCTGTAAATAAATCGGTTTGTAGAATTATCGTTATAGGTCCACTTTTGGATATGTTCCCTATATTTTCGTTGCAAGTATATGTTTGTATACCTATTGGTGGAGGGTATCTAAGGTTCGGTCCGGTCGAACTTTAAAATAGATGCGTTGAAGATAGTTTTCTAAATATTATTTCCGAAGAGTGATCTAATAAATAGTAGATTAGAAGGACGCTATCATCTTTGTAGATAATTACCTAAAGAGCTAAAAAAACGAATGATCCCAAAATCGTGTTGAATTTACGATTTTTATAGCCACAAAAATCCATTTTAACAAGTACTTTTATCTTTGGGGGGAATTTCCTAATTATTAATATTCCAAACAACAATAAACAAAAAACCAGTAAGGAAAGAAGTAAAGTCGGACTGGGCCGACTATATGACAACCCTTCACCAATTTGGGTATATTCTACATATGTATCCTAACAGACGTCGCGATTTTGTTATATATCTATATCTGAACTGATTCCAGGGAAACTTGCCTGAGTCTAATTTATATTACTTCACTACGTTATGACAAATTTGGTGCAAATGAAATGATTTCCAGGGACTTTGGTGCACCATTTAACTAAAATCGGGCGAAACTATATATGGGAGCTTAGCACACATTATTAGAGACGCAATTCAGTAAGCTATGGCAAATTTCGTGCAAATCGAAAGATATATAGGGTCTTTGGTGCACCAATTACCTTAAATCGGATGAAAATATATATGTGAGCTATATCTAAATCTGAACCGATTTTCACGAAACTTTGCACACATCATTCTAGTCTTAACTCAGTACGCTATGCCAAAATTGGTGCAAATCAAAAGATTTCCAGGGACTTGAACTATTTACCTAAAATCGGGCGCAACTATATATGGGAGCTATATCTAAATCTGACCCGATTTTTAGATCATTCTAAGCATAATTCAGTACGCTTTGCCAAATTTCGTTCATATCGAAAGATATATAGGGACTTTGGTACACAGTTTACCTTAAATCGGACGAAGATATATATGGGAGCTATATCTAAATCTGAACCGATTTTCTCGAAACTTAACTCACATCATTCTAGATTTAATTCAATACCCGGTTCAAAATTTCGAGCAAATCGAAAGATATATAAGGACTTTGGTACACCATTTACCTTAAATCGGACGAAGATATATATGGGAGCTATATCTAAATCTGGATTGATTTTCACGAAACATTGCACACATCATTCTAGACCTTATTCATTACGCTATGCCGAATTTCGTGCAAATCTAGAGATATATAGGAACTTTGGTGCACCATTTACCATAAATCGGACGAAAATATATATGGGAGCCTTATCTAAATCTGAACAGATTTTTCCCA